AGCACGCGAATGATACGCTATGGCATCTGACGCATGCGCAGATGACGATTCCTCGCTTTAAATGTATTCCATTCATACTGACAGTAAAAGCGATAAATACGGCTCCAGCGTTTCAAAGTACTGTAAAATATGTTGAAAAGCGACATGCAATTTTAGCGAATTGCGGTAATTTGAAAGTGACTAATAGCGAAAGGTTGATATAGCGAATCTCTCTTGTCATTGTTGTTTGGTAATTCACAATAAATTTATATTTATATTTGACTTCTTGGCAAGACTTTTTGATGACGTGGCAGATATAAAAAGACACCATCTCTTGCATGGATGAAGTTGGTACAGTAGTTAATGTTTGTATACTATGAAATGACCCCGCCCTTTTTTGAGGTACGGTAAAAATAGGTTAGAGATTATAAGCAAAGTATGTTTCATACCAGATTATTATAATGTTCGCGTGAACAAATATGCTTTTCCATGCGTCGAACTTTGGATCAACGGGCGCTTCAAAAACGTCATAAACGGATACAAATATTGAAGAAGGACACGCTGAGGTATTACAGAGCTGGGGCAGATGATGAAATCACTCTTAATGAAAACAGAACGGCGTTTAGAAGGTGAGGAATACGTTTGGAGGACGGTGTTGGTGGCAACGTATATTGTTCGAGTCGAATGTATAAAATACATTGTTTATTTAAGAATTCAAACGCCGCGCGACGACGAGTGTCAATGCTAATACTAAACTTGTACTTCTTATAACACAACGTTGAGGGCACTTCTACCTGTCACAGATAAATATAGCTACACACATGTATCTATATTTGCATACAAACGGCACTGAGTTGAATTTTATTATCATTCGAAAGCACAATTTGATCTCAAAGCCGCCATTTTACCATGATATACCACTGTACAAAACTAACCAATGGGAAACGTTCTTTTATTCCCATTTAGATTAAAGTTATTGCCAAGATTGTTACGAGATGTTTCAAAGAGAGATTTGTCAACTACAATTTTGGGCGACCGTATAGACTTCCCAGTGTGCATCGCGCCTTGCGCTTACCAACGAATGGCTTGTGGTCATGGGGAACTCGATACGGTTAAAGGTAAATAGTATGTAAATTAATTTGTGCTATGTAGAATACTCAAGTATATCGTGTCGATTTTACATACACACTGGTTTCAAGAAAAAAAAGTTGCAGACTGTTGTGAACTGAAAATCATTGTTGTAGTCATGGCATCCGATCGTTTTCTATTGTTAAAAATATGAATTCTTGGCCTACCCAATAGTGGGTGTGTTTTTTTAAAATATGAGCGTGGTCATTTTTGTGACTCGATGTTTTCGTTACTCGTTACTCGTAACTCGATATCCGTAACTCGAACGATTCAGCATCTCGGTTTTGCAAAAGTGGGCGTGGTTATTTTTGTAATTTGATGTTTTCGTAATTCGACGCTCGTAACTCAATGTCCCTAACTCGAACAATTCGGCACCTCTTCATCTAGTAACTGTGAGGGCGTGCTCACCAGACGCTGTCTGGAGCCAAATGTTTAGGATTGGTGTCTGTTACTAGTAGATGAGCATCTACTAACTGTGGCAAGGCTCGTTACCGTGGCAGTGAGTTTAGAGCCTAAGTATGCGCATGCGCATGCGTGTAAGTATGCGTGTATGCTTGTTTAATGCTTGCTTATTTAATACTTTCCAGTAAGTCAGTTTCTCGACATTATCGAATAAACTCACAAAAATATGCTCATTTTGACGAAACAAAAACAATATCACTATGCAAACCATTCCAAGAATCATTGTGAACAGTGCTTGTGAATGTTCTACATAGAGATAAGATTCATTTTTGACCCCATGAAAAATTAGCTTCGTCCATAATATTAATACAACCTGCGGGTAACTTGAAGTTAAATTCAAGTTCACAGCAAAAATACACTTTGTATTATGCTTGTTTTAAACAAATGATAAGTATCACCTAGAAACCAGTAAGCGAGTTGTGCGATTGTTTACCATTTTTTTGCAAATTAAGATCATGCTCTACTAAAAATAATGCTAAGAGCATATAAACATACAATTTTTAAACATTAAAAAAATGTTGGACATTGTTTTTACTTTTGGTACCCATTTTGAATGACGTATGGTTTTTATTATGAAATTGTTATTTTTTATTACTGAGTGTAGTATAATTGTTCAAAAAATATATTGCCACATCTCCAAACAAAACAACATATCTAACCTATTCACCCCTATGAGAAAGAATGGTTCACTCCACTGCGTTCACACCAGGTCATCGAGAAATTGAGTTAGTGAGAGGGTGACACACATACCGGACACAGACACGATTTCACGCACACACGAGGCATTACATATCGCGACACTATGGCGAATGCTGGAGACATAGTCACGGAGTCAGAAGAGAATGCGTTCGAACAGCGAATGATGCAGATATTGAATAACGGGGTTATCTCACTTGGTATATCTATCGGCTCTGCTTCCGGGCTTTTCGAAACAATGGCGGAGTTGGATGAGCCGAGATCATCGTCTGAAATTGCTGAAGCAGCCTGTCTTAAGGAAAGGTAAACTATGAAATAACCCTATTGCACTTTATTTAGTCAATATCCAATGTATAGATGAGCTGTCGAGATAAACAACCAAAATAGCTGGGTGTGGCTGGATCAGTGGTATAAAAATATTTTTTGTGTTGATATGTCAGCCCGGCCCTCATACACATGTGCTCCCCTTGACAGAAATATTAAAGCGTGGGAGTCGTCACCTGCGCATGCGTCAGATGGCCTTTGTTTACAAACAAACGTCTACCCATGAGCCTTTGCGTTTTAGCGTGTGTTGTTATCGTCATTTGGGACTCAATTCCCGCGCGTGACTAAAATGTCTTCCATACCTTTCAAATTCGACGGTTTCTATTGATGAGGGCGCTGTGGGTTTTACATTACTTGGGAGATTTGACAGTCAAATGCTAGTTCGATATATTTCAATGCTACAATATAACTAGCCTGTCCCACAATTCAAAACAGATACGTCAGAGAATGGCTTGGTGCTATGGTTACCAGTAACATAGTGGAAGTCGACCCCGATAGGAATACATATTTCCTTCCACTTCATAGAGCTAAGTCTTTATCAAGAAAGAAAGGGGACGGTTCTGTAGCCACATTTTCAGATGGTGTTCCGTTACTAACTGGAGTTTTCCAAGACATTTTGGATTGTATGAAGAAAGATGGACCTAAAGGTGTATATATGACATTATATTTTTCTTTATCTTGGCATGGCGTTGTATTGATCACAGTAGAAATACTCCGTCACCGTAGCCATACTTGTAGATAATCCTATGTAGACGTGTGTAGGCACGCGTGATTATAAAGTTATTATTGATGAGTTTGAATCCAAACGTTGATTCACGTTGTCGTATAGTAATAGGAGAATAATTACGTATGTTTTTTGTAGGTGTGTCATATTCTAGATATCCAACATACACAAAATACTCTGATGAAATGGCGTCACTAAAACTCCAGAAATTGCCGCAAGGTTATTTATTTACATCGGAGGAAGTCCAATCCAAACTAGGTACAGTAATACATATTTCTGTTTTTTTTTTATTCTAAGTATGTCCGAAACAAGATGTGTGTTAATAATAAATCCAATTTAATTTGTTCTTTTGTCAGTAAGTGTCCTTATCGATCAGACTTGTCTAATTGGTCGTGTTATGTTCGTTCAGTTCCAGGGGCTGTTGCTTGTGACGTTGGTTGTGGTAGCGGAATACCAGTGTGTACATTAGCACAGTTATATCCTGCATGTAAATTCTATGGTGTTGACCTATCCGAGAAGGCCATTACTGCGGCTCAGAATCGAGCACTTGAGATGAAACTCACAAACGTCACTTTTATCCAATGCGATGCATCCAGTATGGCGGAAGATTGGATTGAAAAATTCGACATAGTCGTCACCATGGCTGTTGTACACGATCTACCTCGACCTGACCTCGTTCATCACGAGATTATGCGCATATTGAAGGATGATGGTATATACATTATGGAGGATATAGATTGCCATAGCAACCATTCCGATAATATTGGCAATCCCCGTGCTGCTCTTTATTACACTTGGAGTATGTTTCGTTGCATGGCAACATCTCTGTATTTTGACAATAGTTTTGGTTTAGGAGCAATGTGGGGGAAGGAACGTGCGATAGAGTTCCTAGAAAAGATGGGTTTAGAATGTTTTTCGTCTTATTCTTTAGATAATGTAAGCAGGATAGTTTATTTGTCGAAAAAGAAAATGCTCGCTGATTAAATATTTGTTGTGGTATACACAATATATCAGTTTCAGACATTAATTAATAATAATTTTTCTGGTTATTTTTTATTGTTATATTAATATTAAAATATATTAGATTGAATCACACTACGTTGTTTTGATAACGTCATTCCACATTTAAAAGAGCGTACACTCCATGCAAGTGTCGTTTAGCTATATAATACAGTTATTTTTTCTGGGTGATATGTCATTCTAAGTTGTCAATGCCAATGTAAATCATATGCAATGTGTGAAGCATTTACATTAATACAATATATAATTTTATTGTCTATGCAAAAGATAATATTGACAGTAAAGTTGGTATAAAGTATTTCCTGACTATTGCAGATGACAATTATGTTATCCCAAACTGCTCGAATAATCCAGCGGCCAAAATCCAGAGGAGGTTTATTCAAGGATTTTTTGCACCCCTGTGAGAAAAAGTATACCACAATAAATATATATATGTGACAATTGCCATTCTAAAATTGAATCTTGTGGTACTAGGTTGATGGTAGATCTTGACCGCATATAACCCCGAAATGACGTAATTGTTTCAACTTCAACCAACTTCAGAAACATCATGTAACATATCAAATAAAAAGTATTTTTAAGTAAAATTTTTTATTTTGAAATAGAATCACTGATTATAGCCGGGGGCTTGTGAGTTATCCTTGCTTTTGTTATGAAATTTTGTCATTTTTTTTTGAATTTATGAATTACAAACGGAAATGTGTGTATGTAATTTTTATGCATCAAAATAAAATTATATGCAGAAATGTATTCTGGGAACATATTCGCAATTCAACGAAGTATTGTATGTTTCATTGCACTATGTAAAGAGAAACTGGGTTTAAGCTTTCGAATTTGTAATACTTTGTCGCTGTTATTGTCATGTAACAATATAGTACCTATTAATTAACCCTCCCCAGTATCAAATGTGAATAATCCTAGACAAAGTGTAACCATAACAGGGCACATATTACCCATTTTAAATCTTACCAATTGTAGACCAAATCTAGTCCTACAACAAACATATGACGCTAGTTGTACACTAAACGTGCATATCAGATTTGTCTAATTCCAGTTCAATTGTTTTTCAATCCTAGACAATATCTGGCCAGTCATACACCATACGTGTCATTGTTTTTCATCGTTACACAGCAGAGTAACTTATCAAACCAGGTAAAGCATCTGTCAGTATTTTTCCAAAATGCCGATCACCAGAAACTTCGCATGTTACTGAAGGTCAGCTAATACCTTCTTTAATTTTAACGTCTGTGTATGACCTCGCCCACATTTGTATTTGTTGTTATTAGACGTTTTCGATTTCCCAGTGCCTGCATGAAAGATGAAATTGATACCCTAGTAAAAAATATATCGACACATGCCTTAAAGTTATATTCGTTATTCGTGTACTGTACCAAACGCAACAGCTGTTGTATTTACTTTACCAATAATTAAACATAACCGACCAGTTCTGTAGATTCGTCTGCGATTTGTTATAATCTTCGGGTGTCATACAAAATCAATATTCTTGAGTTGTTTTCAATATTTACATTGCGATTGACATTGAACATTTCGTACTTCCCAGGAATTTACACTGCAAGGCGTAACATATATATGGTAGTGAAGTCATGTAACCTTTCAGCGTCTTTAGATTCATTGATTTACATGTTGAAACACTTGTGAAAAGTTACAATAATAGTTTACAGATTAGCACGACGAAGCAATGGCTTGTATATAATTCATCTAACAGACTAGTACATAATTGTAAATATTACTACCATACACAATATGATATAAGATATGATATCATATCATTTGAATATTTTCATTTATCCTGGATAGCACACTCAGTAAGAAAATACTGGTCCAATTTATTCGCCTCTGGACATGCTGTTAGCCGGATAACTTCGCTCGCGTCTACGGCCCCCGTGTCGTTCTATGTCAGAACGATCGATACAAACCTCATTTTCCTTTTTTTGCAACAGATGTTGCAATGTTATATTCTACCCACAATTCCTTGCTGGATAATTGTGGAGCACGCCCAAAAGTTAAATATTTATAACGATTTGGTTTCAGCAATTTTGGCTACATCTTTGTCCCTATTGGACATGTGTTTTGGTGGTAAAACGTTCATCATTTCGCTGATGTGCCTGGACAGATTTTGTTTAAAATACAAAGAACAAAAAAGTAATAAAGATCACATTTGCAATTTATTCTAAATTTATCTAGAAGAGTATTGGGCATTATTGAGTTTACAGTTTCTAATGCTGGAGAAACGTTCATATTATAGCATCAATAATCTTATTCTCTGTACAATAAATATTAAGTATATGCTGGTTTTTCAGATACGTTTACAAACATGTGCTTTTCCTTCTTCTCATTTCAATACCAAGAATTCTTCAAAAGTGATAGAGAGAATTATAACAATCACAGACCGATACAGACCTAAGAAATTTTTTTGCACGAAATTTCCAGGCCCAACTGGGTAGTCTAATCTAATGGTCAACCCTGAAATGTACTAGTATGTTGCATTTCAATCAACAGCGGTCGAGAAAATAAAGACATGCATGGTGTTGAGTACTCTATCGACCTTCCCACTTGAAGATGTTTCGCGAAGTAGTCCAGATGCACTCAAGTGGTTTCAGCTGTATGTGTGGCGCTACCGCGATATTACGGTAGAAATGATTAGAAGAGCGGAACAGGATGGATTTAAAGCCCTGGTCATCACTGTGGATCTACCATGTCCGGGGAAGCGAAGAGGAGATGCCATGGCCTGTGGTAACAGTGTCCCGCCAGGTGTACGCTTGGTGCACATACCAGACAAATATAAGGTGACTTTATAAATAATCACAGTAGACTAATATTAGTTACAGTCCCGCTTTCTATGATATGTATAAAACTTCTCACTCAACCCCTGTAAGCGTCATTACGACTTGGGATTTTGCAAAGGTTCATGGAAAATCTTACCTCACAGAATCCTGGAAAATAAAGTGGCCTTGAGTGATTAGACCAATAATAAATATGTTTGATTTTGTTGATTAGTCGCAAAGTGGAGTCTAGATTCAGGATTTGTTGCCAAAACAACTGATTTTATCATATTGATTAACAATTAGTGGGCGAAGTTCTGCAAAAAATACAAAGTGGGCAATCAACTCTACTTGATCCAACAATTAGAATAATTAGAATGCTACTGCCGAATAATACTTTGGAATCACTTGTTAACAGGTAGTTTCATAAAGTGCTAATGTCAATAAACTGTTACTGCCGGTACTATACAAGTTTAACATTCAGATATATTGAGTATGACTCTAAGTTCAGTGATTATTTTCCAAGGATATACTAAGTACTTGATTATGACTCGAAATGATTTCATGGCGTGTTCCACGTTTGGATCAGGATGCACTCACTCCATACGAGCCCTTGACAACTTTTCATGTATACCATGAGGTCTATATGTGTCTTTCTCTTACTGATTTGACGACATAATATGCTGTTCCGTTCTTGTTGGTTGGTTAATTCAGAGGCGGCGGCACGAAATGTTGAATGGGTGAGCGGGATCTGCTCACCAACCTTGCACTGAAGGCGCGACTTTACTAGTGGGTCCGGGGGCATGCCCCTTTAAAAAATTCAAATGTATATCCTCTGATCAGAAACGCTATTTTCTGCCTTTTGCGAGTCAAATTTTGCTGACACAGAGAGTTTTAGCTTGATTTTGGAGGGGCGACGCCCCCTCTGCCCCCGTGCCAACGCCACTGTAATTGTCAGTCGGACTTTTAATAAGGTGTGTAATTTTCACTTTACAATGACTAAATTCCGCGTTGCTAAATGAGTACCTCAAAATCTGATAATACTATAGTGTTATTATGAATAAGATTATACATTAGGTTATCATTTACACCCGATGTGATCACTTCTGCAGTCGACGCCATCAAAGATAAAGGCAGAGTATGGCGGTGTAGGTGGCGTGTTAGACCCCTCCTTGAAGTGGGACATTATAAAATGGATGCGAAAAATCACCAAACTGCCAATAGTACTGAAAGGAATTCTAAGCCCAGAAGACGCACTGCTTGCCGTGAAACACAAAGTAGACGGTATCATAGTATCAAACCATGGAGGGCGACAGTTGGACACAGTCCCTGCAACGGTACGTATTCAAAGTAAAGCCAACACACTCATAGCATAGCTGGTAGAAGACTAACGTTTCAGTATTCCATATCTTCCATATCATAATGGATGTTTGGCACCCTGATATCCCAGTACTATACTTAAGTCTTGTTTCTAAGTTGAGTTTGACTTTGTAGAGGAATTTAATTTCGATGTGGTTGCTGATCGAATAGAAATCGACAT